AAGATAAGGATATCAAATTACATGGATAATTATTTAGCTTTAATTGATTAAAACATTATCTAAGGTAATTATCCTAATCAACTCATGAGGTAAGCCAAAAATCCGATTTTGTGGATCCGACGGTCCAACACGCCATGTAAGACAATCACTACGCCGTGTTGGGTCAAAATTTGCAAGTAAACACGTCATGTTAGAAGAGCACCACAACGTGTTTGATGAACAATATGACAATTTTGTTTTCTCCTCCTTTCTCAAGTTCAACAATTGTATTAATTCAATAAAAAACTAAACCTACACTCTGATACCACCACTGATGAGAATTATGCAAAACATATAAATCTTATGTGTGCATGCAACCCTAAATAATTGATCTATGTTTTCTCTAATTAAACATACAACTTGAACAACAAAATAGAAAACTCTAGGATACCTAGTATATTTTCAATTTATACTAATTAGGGTTAGGAGAAACATACCTTAGTAGTTATTGTATAAATAAAAAATAAACCTTCTTGAATGAATCTTGGAAGCAAGTGTCACAAGTGTCGCGCCTCTAATGCCTTACACCCAAACCCTAACAACCACAGAGCTTAAATAGATATAGGGGAGCGAGGTGGAAAAAATCAGAATTCCTCTAAGGAATCAATGCTTGGACAAAATCAAACCCCATTGTGGTTTATATAGGTGATAAAGAAGGTATTGGATAAGGCAAGTATCTCCAAGTTAACTCCAATCCTTTAACTTCCTCTCTAAGGCATCTAAGGCACCCTTAATGCTCAATGAAACCCTAGAAAGTTTCTATATTTCATTCCTCTTATTTATGGGAGGTTCTAGAATTGTCAAATGCTCAACTATTGAACATTGTCACCTTTATTCCTCCTACTTTTAATTGATCTAAATAATCCCAAAATTAAATCAAATTAATTTCTGATTAATTATTAATTAAATAATATTATTTCCAATTAATATATTATTTTCATAATATATTGTAACGCCCGTAGATCTGGGCTAGTCAATTAGAGACGTTAAGCGTCAAAAATTACTTTTTGATGGAAGATTATTTTGAAGAAATAATCTTAACTAAGTTATAGTATATGTTACAAGGATTCCGTACATATAAAGAACGCCAAAATCCGAGTTATAACGACGAAGTTATGACCTGTCGAAGTTTCGCGACAAAACCGGCACGACGTTGAATGACGTAAAAAGTGAATTTACGTTAGAGTGATATTTAGCCTTAGAAATATAAATGAAAGTCGTAGAGTTCGTTAAACCATGAGCGTGCATAAAAAGAACGCCCAAATCTGACTTCGTATGAGGAAGTTATGATTTTTCGAAGTTTTGACTTAGCGGTATGCAGCCCGAATACTCGATCTGAGACCGAGCGGTTATTTTAGCAGAAACAATCTAAATGAGAATTGAGGATCTCATTAATTGTAGTAAAACAATAAAAAGATAGGCGAAAACGGACGTCGGATGAAGAAGTTATGATTTTATAACGGAGTCTTCTTGTCCCGGCCTACTAAAAATAAATAATAAAAATAAAGTCAAAATTAGCCGACAGAGTCTAAACGAACCTTGTAGAGTGTAGTCTCACCTACGCGGGGATATAAAGAACGTCGAAAACGGAGTTCGTATGAGGAAGATCTGAGTTTTTGAATTTTATTAAATATTTTCGATATTTAATTTAAATATAAATTTGATATTATCCGGAAGGGGGGGGGGAGTTAGCGTTCTTATCCCCATTACGCCCAACGTAATTTAGAATTATGCCCAGCGTAATTCGTGTTCCAGCCCCCTATAAAAGGGTGTCGAGGGCAACCGACTTCTTTGCTCATTTCTTCCATTTTTCTTGCGTTTTTGCATCGTTTTTTGTGCAAGAAATATCCTGAAGCCCTGGTATCATTCCCGAGCCCCGAAGCAAGCCTCGAGGCCCGAAGATCCCAAGAAGTGCAATTCCCGAGCCGAAGCTCTGCCCGCGAGGAGCCCGGTTTTTGTGAAGATCTTTCAGATCTACCGAAGAATACTACTTCTTACTAGTCGTAGTGCTGTCCAATCATCTTCTAATCAAGTGAGTGTGTGGTTACTTTCTTCTAACGCATAATTATGAAGTATTTTATATGAAATACGTGTAATATGTTTAATTTTGTTGTTATGTGTGTGAATGTATAATCACTTTCTTCTATCTCATAGATCTGATTTATTCTCTATGAAATACGTGTTATGTGGGTGTGCCTCATTTGTTACGTGGAATAGGTATTGAATGAGAATGCTATACAGGTTTTAAACTATGTATAAAAATATATATTTTTATCTACTAATATGTTGGGTAGAACATGGGTATATAGTTGATGTGTGATAAATAGATGAGAGACCCCGATGTTGTTGTTGTTGATCTAGTTATTCATTGGAGTGTGGATTAGACCAAGAGGTTAGTTTTAGATCCGAGAGTATGGATCAGGTAAAGAGATAAAACTTGTTATTAGTCCGGGAGTATGGATTAATACTAAGTTAATTGTCCCTTGTCCGGGAGTATGGATTGGGCACAATTATTGATCCGGGAGTATGGATCAGATCAGGATTAGGGTATAGTTAATTGTCCTTATTCCGGGAGTATGGATTGGGTACAATTATTGATCCGGGAGTATGGATTAGATCAGGAGGTTAGTTTTAGATCTGTGAGTATGGATCAGGTAGTTTTAGATCCGTGAGTATGGATCAGGTGAAAAAAGTTAGTTTTAGATGCGTGAGTATGGATCGGTGAAGAGGATAGTTTTAGATCCGTGATTAGGGATCAGGTAAAGAGGAAAATTTTAGATACGAGAGTTTAGATCGTGTCGTTGTGAGGATCGACGGGGTGGGATAAGAGTTGCCTTTATATGGTGAAATTGTACAAGTTTGAATGTTCTATATTTATAAATATATGATATAACATTGTGGGATGAAAACCGTATATGCTCACCAGGCTCCCAAGCCTGACCCACTCAGTTTTCTTTGTATCACAGGTATCGATACGAAGACATATTTAACAGAGAGATTTAAAGGAGATATAAATCATTAGTGTAATTGAATGTAAGTTCTGTTTATGCTTATATGTCTGTATCGGAACATGACATCCCGATGTTTTATTATTAAATGAAAATACATTCTCTTTGAGAAATGTTTTGATAAGTTATTATCATATCTTGTTTCGGGAACAAATTCCGCAACCGTTTTCTTTAAAAGATTACTCTGATTTTATAAAACAAAACATAAACAAATCGGTCTTTTCTGGCCGTGAAAATGGGGATGTCACATATATTAACAAATCATTTATTTTGATTTCTAATTAATTTATTAACAACTTCCTTCAATCCTCTAAAATACCCTCAAAATGGTCTTCAAAATCTCAAGAACACACAAGAGAAATTAAGGCTTGAATATAGGGTTTAAAGAGTAAGGAGGTTGATCAAGATGAGGGTTACAAGTCCATATGGTTGTTTATATAGTGGCAAGCCCTAAAATTAGGGTTTTCATTAATCATCGCCTACGCCCCGTTGATCTGTATGCCCTGTGTACGCGTCCGGATTCCCGATCCTTCCTCACACGAGTACGCTAAGCGTCCCACAAGGTACGTCCCGCGTACCTTCGCACAAGCACGTTAAGCGTACTCTAATGTAAGCCCAACGTATCACTCAGGGACTAGAATGTGACTATTTAAATAGTGCAAGGTCTAAAGAGAACATACCAGAATCCAGGTGTTACACCTTAATTGGTGAATCTTAAGTTTAGGACTTGTCTGTTTAGAAAATTATATGGGATTTTGACTTAAGGTTTTTTGGTAATTTGTTAGTGTGAGGAGTTCGGGTCTACAACTCTTGTGGTGTTTCTTTGTTTGTAGTTTGAGATGAGTTTCTCTCTCACTGTTCCCGAGGTTCGAAGGCACCAATGCCGACCGTCTGATAATGTATAACATATGGTATTTAGGATGTGGTATGCAATAGTTGGTAGATCTGTATGATTATTGTTTTACTGGTTATTATGTCATATTTGATTATTTGTATATATTGACATATAGGATTGGGTTGAGACAGTCCTGCTTTGTGTTGTAGTCCAAGATACTTGGGGGCGGTCTGAATAGGCTGTAGGCCCTGCGAGGCAGTCCAGTTATGCCGAAAGCCCGATAGAGTGGCCCAAATAGGATGTAGGTTCATGTTCGCATGCTTGTATTATTATGTTTGTGTGTGTTATACTAGGGGAACTCACTAAGCTTTTGCTTATAATTTCAATGTTTGTTTCAGGTACTTCTGAGGATCGGGGTAAGGCGAAGGCATGACCGTACAAATCCTCCAGTGTTTTGTTATGATGGATTTTTATGATGTTTGATTTGGATGCATTGTATCTGACACACATGATTTTGGGATGACTTACTCTTATTCACTATGGTTTTACCTAATTAAAAATGAAATTTTGTACCATGATTTTTGGGATGTCATAAGTTGGTATCATAACCATGGTTTGATAGAAATAGATGAGCATTCGTGTGAGGTCAGACTCAAACTAAGGATCTACTGAAGTTTTCAGGAAAAAAAATCGATCAAAAGGAGGATGCGATGTGTAAGATCAGTCAGAGCAATAATGTGTTCCCAAGATACCCACACATGTATTTGTATTGAGTTTATGTTAGAGTTGCATTTTAGTTAGTAGGCTAAGGATCTTCGTGAATGATATGTTGGAACTGCTTGGATTTGATGAATTTGATGCTTGGTAGCCTTGGAAGATTATTTGCTTGCTTGTGAAACTGACATTATTACTGTAGTAGTTAGTGTAAACATCATAGCTATGCATGATTAAGATTTCATAGCCTAAGAATGTATAATGTAGCCTTATTTTATGTACTTATTTGATGAAGGGATTAGGGTAGTGTAGCATGTTAAAAGTATAAAGAACAAGAGATCTAAATAAGATATGTTTAGCTCGATTATAAGTCTAAGGAGTACAAGACTGAACGAGTACAAGATATGATGTATGACTCAAAGTTCGTTAATGATGTGGACGAAAATTTAGAAAAATGAGACAATGTGTTTTAAGAGTTGCATAGTCTTTTACTCTGTGCACAACAATTAATGAAGGCTAAGGCAGAACATCGTTGATGAGAAATCCACTTTGAAGTAGGCAATTATGTTTTTTCTTAAGTTAAGACCATATTCGCTGGTTATTGTCTTATGATTCGTCAATGGTAGATAGCTTTACAACGATATCAAATATATGGACAGCATAAATTAAGCACACAAGCATATTACCGGTAAATCTTTTGAATTGGTTACCATGCTTCGAGTAAAATTTGACTTTAATTGTATAAAATACCAAAAAAAAAAAAAAAAACCTTTGAAACCAAAGACAAGTTAGTTGATTACTAGAAGATTAACCCTTTTACTTATTAGCAAAAAAGAAGAAGAAATCAGTTGGGTTTTTGTGAGACTTGATCCTAACTTCCGTAGACATATTCGGAAGTGTTTGGCTTATCTTTTGATATGCCAAAAGGATTTTTGGAAAAAGTTACAAAAATTCCAAAAATTCCAAGACTTCTCCAGTTTTCCTTATATCAAAATACCACGAGTAGCTTTTAAAATATTTTTACTAAATATCTTTTCAACCCCGAGTATCAACCCTAAGCAAAAAGAATCTCACACCGGAGGGTTTGATTAAACGAAAAGGTCGTTCCCAAAGGATAGTATTACAGTCATAGCACGAGAATCTTGAATCGATCGGTACTATACGTCCACTTGTTCGTGAGTATTCTACTTCCATGAAACCTTAATTTAATCTGTCGATTGTTAGTATTGAATGGCAGCGATCGATTTGTTCGCTTAAATCCCGTCTATATGCATTTTTCCGGTTTTAATTTCTATTTCAATGGCTATAATGTTCATCCGCGGTGTATGATGGCGTGATGAGACGTTAATGGAGTTTAGTTTAGGTAGATTAGCCTAAAATTATTGAACGAATGTAAAATTAAAACTAATCCTTCTCGTTAGGGTTTTGAAATCGCGTGATGGTTGTTTGTTTTAGATCTTGTAACTTGTATCAATGAATTGTTTTATGATTTTTTATGGTAAAATAGAAACCGGTTTGGACATTTTGTTACGTTTTTTTCGCTGATTTTTGATGGTAATTGGAATTTGAAGCACCATGAATGCCTGAAATCTCTGTTTTTGACATTGTCTACATTGATTATTCTACAGACAAAGTGTAGTGTAGGGGAGATGGCAATGGTTGCCAGTGAAGACGCAATTTCCAGTGATCACTTTGATGGTATGGTATTGGTATTGATGTTACATATGTTTGTATGTTGTTTGATATCCATTTTGACGAAAGGAATGCTTTTCTTCTTCTTTGGTGAAGGGAACAACAAAAATCAGGTTTTCCAAACTAATAATGAGCGAGTGAAACTTGGAGTAAGGAGGAAGAGACGTCAAGTTGTAATGTCAAGGTTAGGGAAGCCATTTGCACTCATGAGAACATCACGAATTAAAAAGGATGTGATTCCTGTTGGAAAAGAAGTTGGTGGCTACAAGAAGGCTCAGAAGCAGCAACATAATCATTGGGATGTAAAGAAAAGGAGTCAGGGAAAGAAATCAATAGCACAAGTCAGGGAATCTGAATCTGATAACAAGGACCTTGTGGAACCATTTGTTTCAAAGACAGTCTCATCTGAAGATGAAGAAGATTCAGAAGATGATTTTTGTGGTATGCGAAGCCGGCGTGAGGCATGGTTCAAATTAGACTTGTCCTTGCTGGTGACAGATGAATCTGAATCTGATACTGAAACACATACTAAGAAGCGGGGTTCAAATATAATAAGAGGTCCTACTCCTTCCATACATGGAATTGAATATCTAGGGGGTAATCCTTTTCCTCCTCTTCATCCGGATTATTTTGCGGAACCGGAGATGCGTTAATTTTGGTCGGACAAGTGAGTTGATGTCACTTTTTTTTTATTATGATGATGATGATGTGTTTGTTTGTTGATGCATATGTTTTTAGTTGCAACAAATGTAAACTAACCCATAATCCTTTTTGATCAATCATGTAGGTTTTATATGATCCACCTCCAAGCTTCTTGATGTGTAAACCAGGAGAGGAATATAAGATGTTGATGCTACCTTTGGTCAAAACTACTGTTGACCATCACCTTAAAAAAAACTAACTCATTTCGTTTGCTTTGGTTTATTTTGGTTTGAAAAATGTCTATAGTTTCTTTACTTCTCCTCAAAGTATGTTGCTCTTTTTGTGGTTACTCCTACTAAATTTTTTTCCTTGCTATTTTTGGTCAAATATGTAGACTTATCCTCATATTGTGAGAGAATTATGTTGTTGGGTGTTTAATAGACCTTATGTTGCAGTATGAGGGGTTAAATTGCGAATTTAACATTTTTTCCATAAAAACATCATCGACATCATTTGTTGATAGCCGAATGAAATGAACAGTACAACTTCGTAGATCGTACCTACTTTGGTAGGGTTTACGGATGTAAAAACCGCTATCATATCTTGACAACTTTTCTTTAACAGAAAAATTACAAATTTAGCCAAAAACACTAATTACTTTGCAAATTAAGCCAAAAGAATCAAAGTTGCAAAAATAGCCATTGAAATCGTGGATCGGAATGTTTCATATGTTATTTGTCCATCCCATCTGCGAATGTACAAGTGGTTAAATTGCTTTTATGAAGATCTAAGTGATAAACTTCATATGTTTAACATATTTTTAGATTTATGAAGTAAACAACACATAATCACCAAATAAATCATGAAAAACACACATAGTCATGCATATATACAGTGATCTACACACAAAACTTGTATTCTCCCTCAAAACTTAATAAAAACCGAAAACAGGGGGTATGAAGCTTACCTTGGTGATGGATCAGTTTTGATGAGGAAGAATGGAGTGAGTTTTCAACCTTAGCTAGCTCCTTTGAAGAGATTTGTGGAGTTTTGGTGTTCTAGGGTCACAAACCCAAAAATAAAGTGGTTTTAGGGAAAGATATTAGCATAAGATGGAGTTAAACAACTTAAGTGTGAAGTAAACTTACCAAGTTATGATCATTAAAGAGAGCTTCTTGAAAGCACACACACCATCCACGAAAATTAAAGGAAAGAATGAGGGAGTTTCTTTGAGTTTGAGAGAGAATAAGCTAAGAGTTTGAGTTTGGAAATGAAAAGTGAATAGGTTACAAACGTGCTTTAGTCACTTGTACATTTGCATTTTTTTTGGTATATATATAAGCAAGATGTAGACTAAAATTGCAGATGGACAGTGTTCATCTGTGATTTCCTCCATTTCATCTGCGATTTTATGGTTTATTTATTTATTTATTTATTTTTATTTTTTTACTATAAAATCAATGAGTTTGACTACGAAATAACTTTATTATATATAAACTTTTGTAGGAAATCATAGATGGGTTTTTATTAAAGATTTTGAACATCAAAGGGATAGAAACAGGAAGCTGAAACAATATAAAAAAAATAAAAAAATACATAATAATATTATAATATTTACATAAGAAACATGATTTACATGAAGTAAAAAACATGAAGAAAGAAAAAAGAAGAAACGGATGGAATACCTATTTTATTGAACTTGTTTATTAGCAGAAGATAGAATAGAAATAGCAAGCAGTACTGAGGTTTTTCGAAGAAGTACTTGATGGTGCAGGATTGGTTAAGGACTGGTTAAGGAAGTTGCAACAGGGCATTGGGATGTGGGTGACACAAACGATGAGGAAGAGAATGGCGACGATGATGACGACGAGGATGGGGATGTCGATGACGATGAGGATGACCATCAGAAGCCTCATTTTTTTTTTTTTTTTTATAAAGGGTAATGAGATTCAGGTAGATATGGGTGAGAAAAAAGGTGCAGGTGAGTTTTTCGAAGAAGACATATGTGACAATGAAGATGTTTATCCCGAATTGCCAAACATTTTCAATGATAAGCTCAGTTGTAAGGAGCATGAACCTATTTTAGGTATGAGGTTTGAGATTCCTAAGCAATTGAAACACATTCTTTGTAACTATGCTGTTGCGAATGGTTATCAAATATGTTTTGTTAAGAATGATACTAGACGATTACTTGTCAAATGCTGTGATGGAAAATGTACTTTTAGGCTTTGGGGGTTCTTGGATGAGTGAAGATAAGTCTTTCCAGATAAAGTCTCTTATCGGTGAGCATAATTGTGCAAAAAATTTTCAAATTCGGATCAATTGTGACTTACAAATGGATAGGGACCCACTTTAAGCACAAATTTTATAACAATCAGAAGATGAGTGTCTGATTGCTTAGAGAGGAGGTAAAAACCGCTTTTGGGATTAATGTGAGTATGAGTCAGTGTAGGAGAGCCAAGAAGTATGAATTGAGAACAATAGCTAAAAATTATGCAAGATTATGGTCATATGGTGAGGAGATTAGAAGATCAAATCCTAGACCCACAGTTAAAATTTGTGTTGATTCAATGCTTGATGGTAAGAATTATTTTAGCAAAATATAGATATGTTTTGCTTTAGTAAAAGAGGGATGGAGGGGAGGATGTAGGAGGATCATTAACCTGGATGGGTGTTTTTTGAAAAGTGTTTGTCAAGGGGAGTTGCTTTGTGCTGTGGGTAGAGATGCTAACAATGAAATATTCCCGATTGATTGGGTAGTTGTTTTTGTGGAAAACAAAGAGAATTGGAAATGGTTCATAGAAACGCTTTCAGAAGATTTGCAATGCTGGAATGATGGGCATGGTTTGGTTCTAATTTCGAATCAACACAAGGTATGGTTCAAAACTAGTGCATGTTCTAAATTTAGTAATTGCTATTCTAATTTCAAACATTAATGTGACTTATGTAGGGTTTGATTGAGGCAGTAAAGGAAGTATTTCCTACAACTGAACATATGCAGTGTGCTAGACATATCTATGCGATTTTTAGAAAGAGATTTAGTGGATCCAAGTTTGAAAATATGTTTTGGAAAGCGAGCAAGGCAACAACTGAATCACAATTTAATGTAGTTATGAAAGAGATTGGAAAATTAAATCTGGAAGCAGTTGTGCATCTTATGGATAAAGATCCAAAGACTTGGTCTTTGGCTTTTTTCAGAGTTCATAATTCTTGTGAGTCAGTAGAGAATGGTTTTTCAGAGAGTTTTAATAGTATGATTTTGGATGCCCGGAAGAAACCAATAATAAGCATGTTAGAGGATATTCGTATATATGTGATGCAAAGGATGGTGACTATGAAACAAACCAGATAAGGATGGAATCATTATTCTGTTTGTCCAAATATCAGAATACGGTTGAATATGCTCCAGACTGAGCAATGGTTGTACATTTATCCAATTACATTAGTACCTTACTCTTCACATCTCATGATATTTGCAGTTTTCATCTATATATATAGGCATTGGCAGGTCATTTCTTGTGGGGGGATGAAGTTTGAGGAAAGGAAAATGGACGAGGTGTTTACTGTTAATGTTGAAAAAAAGGAATGCAGCTGCAGGCTATGGCAACTTAATGGATATGGCTGCGTACACTCAGTTGCCACCGTAGCCTACTTAAATATCACACCTGATGGTCCATATGTAGATCCAATGTACTTGGTTGCATTATACCATAATACTTACAAAATCCAATCCATGGGATGAATGGAAAAAATATGTGGCCTTCTACTTACTTGATACCCCCTTTGTCTCCATTGAAAAGATGTATGCCAGGCAGGCCAACCATAAAGAGAAGAATAGATGCTTCTGAACGGATGGGAAAACATACCGTCTCCAAGGCAGGGAAGAAAGTGTCTTGTAGCATATGCAAGGAGAAAGGACACAACAAGGCTAATTGTAGTAAAGGTGTAGGGACATCTAAACAAAATGGAACGAAGAAATAAAAAACTATACCTATGCAGGAGTCTGTAAACGTTGCCATAGGGGTTGGGGATGATGAGGTAATGGTAGATGCTAGTGATGTTTTGGAGAGGACAGGTGAGGAAGAGTGGATGGTGGGAATCAATGGACGAGATGAAGGGGTGAAGGTCAATGCCCGTATTCATCAAGTTAAGCATGTTAAACCACCTAACAAACGAAAGAAGTCAGAAATAATCATTAAAATGAAGCTTGCAAAAAATGTGGGAGGTGAAGGTAGCAGTGTTGCAACGACCATGGAGTTGGATTAAATAATTGTTTGTTATTTATAGTGAATGTGTGTTGAAATAAACAAATGATCTTTGTATGTTCTTTTATGGTGTACTATGTTTTTTGTTGTGTGGTAAGTTGTTATATGGTATGTTTTTGTTGTCCCGTGCCACGAATATGTCAGGGTATTATGGGCGTTTTAGTCATTACAAAGTAAATTACTTGTTTTTTTGTTTTTTTATATGAATTTTTTTGTTGGTTGTAAGATGGTTGTTAATTTTCCAGACGAATTCTTGATACAAGTTAAAAATTTATGTGCAGTTTCTGCTTGACTACTTTGTTCTGTTATTTGACTCTGAAACCTGTAAATCCATTGATCTGCTAAAAAACTTTCAGATGCAGATATGATTCTTGATTCAAAGAGTTGGTGACTACGAAAATAAAGGAAGGCATTTTGAGGACACATCTAGTTAAACAAATTTAAGATGATACTAACATTAATTCATTGATTAAATTTATACCTTGTTACTTGACATTCCAAACACCTGGCTTTTGTTTTGGAAAATGTTATGTGTTTGATTGTTTTGTACAAAGTTTAAAAAGGTTTATGTAATGTTTAAGGTCACTGTAAAATAACTAGTATTTCTAGTTTGACATTCCCAATTTAGACCCCATTTGAAATTTCTTTATATTTCACAAGATTTTCTACAACAGAAAATTTGAGATATATCCAAGCATTCGATAAATAAAAATGTTTCGATAAAAGAAAATAATCACAAGGGATTTCTTAAGCAATCATCAAACATAAGCAAAGCATAAATACTAAGTCAACTTAACGAGGGAAAAATGGAAAATGGATAGAAGTGAGAAGAAAATAAAAGAAATTAATGTTTTCGAGTTTCATTAAATGAAAGAATTGGAAGGATCATTTTTCCTTCATAATTTTACTTCCAATTTGCAAGGATTTTGATACAAAATATTAAAATGTTTAATTTTTCTTTCGGTTCTCTCCAACTCGCGAACACAAAATACAAATTTGCTTTCCTTTCTTTTCTCTTCCTTTCTATCCCTTTCTTTTCTAAAACTCCGGAACTTGGCGTACATGTTAGTGTATCTCTAGTCTCCCAAGTTAATTTGCGTCTCTAACCGCAAGTGTCTCTAACTTCGCTACCCAAGACACACATAAAAATACTACATTAGACTAAAAGGTTTGATGATAGACATGTTTTAGGATTCTATAAACATCATATGTATAAGCATCATATGAAAAAAAACATCAATATGGAATCACAAGATCTAACATCAAAGTCACATATAACATCACTAATACATCAAACATCAATGACACATAAACATTTATAATGAGTTTACATCAAAGAAACATATCATTATCACATACTCGTTGCAACATCAAAGAACATCATGTAAGTGTATGCCTATTCTTCCTACCCTAAGGCATCTCCCAACTCATTTATCATTTATCCCAAGTTCATTGTTGGTACATTTTCATCTGGGAAGGGATACATCTTAATGAATTCACAAAGGAATCCATACATAGGAGGAGTACATCGAGCGAAATATGTACACTAAACCCCATGCATAGGAAACCATACGACACCTACATATAGCTAACTCTCTAGTATCCACTACGTCACACCCCCAACAAGCGACATAATCGCTAGGTAGTGAGATTGTTGAAGGGAAATTACATCTAATACTTAACCTAGAGGTATTGAAATTTGACAGTACATAACACTCCTCAATAGTAGGCACACTTATGAAAGTATTATACTATACTAAGTAGGCTGCCATTCCATGACTACGACCTTCCAGCTCTTAATTCCCTAAGAATGCATGTGATTTGAAAGAATGTCAACGTAGTGTTGGTGAGTTCACAGGTTTAAAGTATTTTAAATTATACATACTTTTAATCAAAAGTAGGATTTCAGTGTATATAAGTGGTTTCCTAGCTTTATATATAAATGAATTTAGTACACTCTCAATGTTACAATGAGTCCATATGCCCCTCCCGACGCTTCATTGACGTTGTAAATGATAGACAATTATCACCCCGTGTGAATTAACCGTCAAGTTTCTAGCTAGCAACTACAAGTAAGGGTGTCACCCCGTATAAATCTATACATAATTCCCCCGCTCATAAAGATTAACAATTATAGGTCAGGGGTCTTCTAAGTATTGTACTTAGGTAATGAATATATCTCATGTAAACCATTGAGTGAAATGTTATAAAAGTTTTGTAAGCCCTTGCTTATACACAAAAGTTTCCAGGAAAATTTTTGTTAACATATATCTACTGTATAAGTTTTGTAAGCTTAAGTTCGACAATATTTGAAATAAATAAAAGTTAATAGCAGTTTAACATGTATTCTCCCCCGAAAATTGTAAACGTAATAAAAAGGGTCGTGAAACCCAATTTGGTGTTAGTGTGGCTTTAATAATGATTTAGGAGCAAAATCTAGAAATAATCGGAAAGATAGTTAAAGAGCGCTTCACATGTTGGATGAATAGTGCTTGTTGGAGATGAATAGTCACTCGTTGAAGTATTGGCCGGAAAAAGTAATCGGTGTCGGATTTTGGCCAGAAAAGGGGTGGCGACGGTTGCCGGAGGTGGCTGCCGAAGTTGTGTTAGGATTCGAAAATTATATTGTGTCTAGTTGTATGCGTTGTTCACAATTTGGTTGTAATGTTTAGTGTCTTTTCTTAATTCTGAAATGTGTTATGATTTTGGAATGTATTTAATCTTAGGTTTGCAGTTCTAAACGTTATGACTTTGGAATGTATTTAATATATAATATATATATATATATATATATATATATATATATATATATATATATATATATATATATATATAGGGGTATTAGTCAGTAGAATGGATAGTTTTTGTCAACATAATATTTTTGGACAATCATGTTGTAACGATTTGTTCTTCCTATCCATTAATGCAAACAAATCTTATTCACATCTTTGTGTTCTTACAAATATATTAGATCTTCTTATTATGTTTTCATTTTAGAATCTATCGTTCCTATAGTTCTTCACAAGTGGCATCACAGCAGGAGGTTTTGTAAGTTGTTTTTAGATCTAAAATCTTTCAAAGTTCTTCATGTTCTTTAGATTTTTTACTTCGCATTTTTTCATCGATTCTGCATTTTTCAACTTTTGATTGCAATTTGATCCAAAATTCTTAGTTCAAATCATTAGATTTTTGGTTTGGAACTCGTTTCTAACTTACATATCTGACTCTAATCGCTTTTTCTGTTGATTTTTTTGAAATGTCTATAGAAGATTCTCACTCGATCTCATTCAATCTTCATGGTGCCATTGCTACTACAAATCATATTCTTATTCTCTTTCTAGAAGATTATGAAGTCTGGGCACTACATTTTGAGGATTATGTTCATAGCATTGTAACTCGTGGATCATCTATCTGGTGTGCGATCTATGAAGGACCATACAAAGTAGAAACGACCAATAATATCATATACACTCAAAAGGAATCGGATGATCTTGTTGCTGAAAAGGCCATTAGATTTGTTGAAAATGAATTGTTAATGAACACTTTAAAAGCATTTTGAATTGTGAGGTTTGATCTTCTTCCATATACTTTTCGTTTGGTAAGTTCTTGTCTTACAGCTCATGAAATTTGGGTAAGATTGAAAGAATTATACTTTGGTGATGCTGATTTACTTCATTCACTTCAAACTACTATTTATTTGAATTTGGTTCATTCGAAAAAAAATTAGATGAATCAGTTAATCAAACTGTCACTCATTTTAACCATTATCTAAGTAGAATGGTTAAGCATAAATTGGATAGAGAAGTGATGGAACAAAATGTCACTTTTCTAAATGGTCTAAGATTTGAATGGAAGCTCATTGTTTCAACTGTTATAACTCATGAACAGTTTAAGGACTATTCTCTTGCCAAATTGGTTGGAATTATCAAATCTCATGAGAAATAAGTTTTTAAAGAAGCCAAAAGTGTCCCGAATGCAGGTCCATTAGCATTTATTGCGAAATCAAAAGGATCTAAAGGTAAATCATCCAACGTAGTTCAAGATGATTCTGATTTAGGTAGTTTGGATGATGAATTTACAAGTGAAATCAAGGCACTCATGGTCATCAATCCCAATTTTTTTTTCAATAAAAACTACTCAAAATTTAAAGGAAACAAGTTTAACAAAGGAAAAAAATAGAGATGGAACTTTCTAGAATCAGAACTCTATTTTGGAGAAAGAAAAAAGAGAAGGTTATAGGAAGTTTTAGAAAGATAAAGAAAAAGGAGAGAAAAAGTTACTAGATGATTTAGGTTATGATTGCAATTACTGTCATGACAAAAATTATTTTTGCAAAGGAGTGTATATTAAGAAAAGTGCATGAGAAGAAAGAAAAGACAAAAGATGAAACTTACTACTCTTAGAAGATAGAAGAGCTTCGGAAAGCTAAAAGCACTGGAAAAGCTTTGATTGTTAAAAAAGATGATGAGGTTTGAAGGGTTACACATGGAAAAAGTTTTGTTGTGAGAGAAGAGGAGAATAGGATTGGAGGAAAGTGTTTGATGGTGGGAAGCACAGATTTCGAAAGTCAAGGATATTTCACTAATGAAGGTGTGAAATTTGATGAGTGTTTCGCAACAAAAAGAATTAAAGAGTATGCTGGAGAAAGCGAGAAGGTAATCGAAAAGGTACATTGTATTCTTAAATCTCTCAATATTCCTGTTTCTCGTTATAATTTTGAAATGACTGAATTGCATGCCACTGTTTCTAATATTAGCGAATGTCCTAAGCGCTCTCGCATTAAGAATTCTGATCTTAGTGATAGTCATAGCAAGGAATATTTCAAAAGCGATGAAAGAAGAATGAAAATTGAAGCTCTTAAAATTGAAGTAACTAGACTTTAGGATGATGTAATAGTCTTGAAACAGGATAATAGGTTGATAACTAAAAAAAAAAAAAATTCTATTTAACTGTCAAACCTCTGTATAATAATATTACACAACTTTATCTTAATTGTGAGAT